GTTTAATCATAGTAAGGTGATTAGAGATCACAAGCTAAGGCAACCACAGACCTTTTCAAACAAATATACTCAGCATGTTATATTTAACAAGATGCTAAACATTCCAGAATCATCAAATCCTTTTTTCAAAGTAAGAGGTACTTTTTCAAAGTAAGAGGTAATGCCAGTGGAATCCTTGTCAAGTAGGCAAGAACTCGAGGGCTGTTAATAATTTCTGACTTTTTCCCCTTATCCCTTATGAGAGTTCTAAAATTGCTACTTTTGCTTTATTGCGCTTTTATGCTTTAAATGCATAATGCACAGTATGCTGTTTCGTCCCTGCTCTTCCTATGCACTTGTCCAGTTGCATTGATCCATTTTATAGCAGCAGAGAACCTCACACAGCAGCAGCAGCAGCAGCAGCAGCAGCAGCAGCAGCAGCCAACCTGCTCACCCACAGTGAGTAACCACAGCCTAGAGATGGCTGAGAACCACATGCTGTGTAGAAGAAAGACACGTAGAAACCAATTGGCCTTGTGGTGATCCTTTTCCCTTCACTGACTTATGATTGTTACTGCTGGCTATGATATTCATATATTCTCCACTGCTAATGCAGAGGATATCTTCTGTGATTTACACAGAGGATTTCAGAGTGGTGACAGCTGTTGATGCTTATCATTTCAGAGGATGTAAACAGACACACCTTGGAGCGTATCTTCAAGCTTGCCTTCTGTGGCAGTGCATCCTCCTCCCCTCCTTGGGCCACACTCTGATCTCAGAAATGCTTGTTAGGCCTCGGCCTTGATGAACAGCACCTGGACTAAGGTCCTCTTGACCTTACCAGAAACACTGCTTCCAGGAACTTACGTTGGCTAACAAGCTCCTGGTTTTTAATGAACAGCCTTGGAAACTTATCTTGTCTTGCTTAAATAACAACTTGAGTGGAACAACGTTTTTGTTATCAAACTTTCAAAGAAAATTGCTGACCCCAGTTGCAGCCAGGATGGAAAATTACTATAACTAAAGCCAACTCCCCTGAGATCCCATAAATGATGGTCCTAAGTGAGACACTTTGAGCTCTCCTGGGCCACAGTGGACTGTGATGTATCTGACATCCCACTAGTATTTTTCTGTCCTCTTCTCTGAGTGGGACAATCTCTCAGAGCCAGTGTACTCTCAAGTTTGCTATACTATGTTGCCAACATACCAACAGACCACTCATTCACAACACCTTCACTACAAATGTTCTACCATCCTGCAAAGCTTTTCAACACTAGTTCCAGGAAGGTCTCTTAGGCAGTGTGGTTCTGCCCACGTGTAAAGACAGGTTGGGAGATTTTACACATTTGAATTGGAAACAGTGATTTGGTCTAAATAGAGGCTACACAGCAGTTTAACAGAGCAGCAGGTAAGTTCTCTTCCACAGGAGCAGACATCTGCCAGCTATAACTGCAATCATAGAATTAGTTTTTCAAATTTTAGATTTCTCAGGAGAAAGCATGCTTTTACATGTATTTTTAACTTTTGGTGTTTCCACTTGGAAGTCAAGCTGGCATCATGTATATCACGAGTATTCTCTCTCAGCGTCTTCAAACCAAAAGGTAATAGGTGTTGGTGATACATCCTGTTCTCTGTATTTGCAAGCACAGTGAGTAGTCAGGTCTCTGACAGTGGAGCAGGGTGATTTTTGCTTCATTTTTAACAAAAATCCTGGAAATTGAGTTCTGCCCTTGCTGGTATACATTCAGCTTGGCTTCCTGGACCTAGAGCCTAGGACCGTACTGACTTAATGGAATTTGCAGTGATGTAACAGTTTGAAATTCAGCTTGAGAAAAAATTAGATAGATTTTCAGCTGATTAAAAAGAAGCTACACTTACTTTATTACTTTCCAAAACAGATTCCCTCGCAGCTTTAGATGTTTGCAACAAAACTGGCTAGCACATTGCTGGCAAAAGATTTTGTGATCATGTTTTGCTTGGATTGTTCTGCTTTGTCAGTGTGGTTCAGAACACAAAGGCTATTGTTTAAAAAACCCATGAATGTTAATTTGCATTCCATTGCTGGGTTATTACACGGAGGGTGGAAAGAAAAAGCAAGCTCTGATTTTTAAAAAAATACACTGTTTTCTTTTCCCTTTCTTCTTCCTTGGGAATGGTTCTCCTTTATTTTAATGTTTCTTCTCCAGACTATGCTCTTAGAGACAGTGAGTGTTCTCTAGCACTTTTAGACAAATACAAGTACACCCACAGCTGTGTCTGCAGAATAGAATACTTCAGTTGGGAGGGACCACAACAACCATCTAGTCCAGCTGCATGTAGGTCATCTAGGAGAGCTATATAAATAAAAAATTAAATTAACTAACAGAATCAATTCCATAATGATGTTTGTGAGCAGAGACACTTGCAATAACACACCTGCTCTTAAATTAGGAGGTGACTGCAGTGTGAAATTCCACGCTCAGAGAAGACTGAGTATAGTTTCACAAGTGGCATAGACCCCATTTGGACTACACTGCCACATCTGCCACCATCTATTGATTCTCAGCCCTGAGCCACATGTTCCAGCTGCCTCCACACCCCCAGTTCTAGTGTTCATACTGCAGTGTAGGGAGATGAATAAGTTCACTAAGACAACCAGAAATAACTTACCAGAAGACAGTTTTTGCACTTCGCTGGTCTGGCTCCTCATGCAGCCTCACAAGCACTAAGACTTAAGGAGGGTGGGAGGAACAGGACACAAGGAAGAGGAAAGAATAGGACTGTCAAGGCCCTAATGGCACTAATAAGCCTTTATTTGCCCCCTCACCCCCCACCCCTGCCCATGGGCCCAGAGGCTCTATTTAAGTTCAGCTGTACCTATTTCTACCACGGCCATACCTGTGCCTGTCTGTAGGTTGTGCCTGTTGATCTGGGTCATTGTGGACTGTTCTGGCCTCAGACCTGTGGACTGACTTTGCAGCCTGATCTTTTCTCTCTCCTGTCACTATGGTCCTGGCTGGTGGTCACAAGGCTGGGCCGCTTCCTGCTTGACCTCAGCCCTGCTCTGGCATCACAGACCCACCTGTGTCTGACCCTGACCTGCAGACTGACTGCTCAGCCTGACCTTGGATCTGCCTCATTGCCATGAGCTTGCCTGATGACCTGGTTTGGCCCTGGCTACTGTCCCTAGCCTGCCCTGCTCCCTTATTTTAGGACAGTAGGATGGTGTCTGGTGAGCCATCTGCTCTGCTTGCTGTGATATATCTCCCTGTCTCTGGGGAGCAGTCGGCCCTGATGAGGACCCGGCACTGGGAGCAGTGTCATCTCTGACTGGCTCCTACCAGTTTAAACTAATTACAAGACTCTGTTAAGAGGTAGCAGGAACAATGAAGGTGGTGTTAGTTCTTCCCAAAAGAGGGAGTCACACCACCTCCCCAGCCACAGGTATATGTTCCAACCCTTCTTCCTTGTGCCAGCACAAGTGTTTGTGCAGCAAGGCAGTGAACCAGGACTAAGAAAAGTAATGCAGTTAATTCTTGAAAGAATGGATCGACCCCTTTACTTGAGGAAGGAACAAGCAACTTGTGTGGAGAAGAGTGGCTGACGCAGCTTCAGCCTCAAGTGTTTGTGGAAGCCTGGAAGATCACCAAGGTTAGGGGTCTGTCTGGGATCTCAGGAATTCTTGTGACTGGCCTAGGCTGAAGTGAGCGATGATGACGTGTCTTCCTTTCTGTCACTGCCCAAACTAGCTCAGGCAGGAAGGTGCTGCTGCACTTACATCCTGCAACTGGCAATGCAGACGGAGCTGTGCTTATTTAGGCCTTTATTAAACAAAACAGCAAAAACATTTATGTAGACCTAAAGGTGCTGGTCACGGGGTTTACTTTCAGTTCATAGTGAACGAGGAGACGGTCAAAACCAAAGTATTCTGTGCCTGGCTCTGCCCACTCAGTTGTTTGATGATGAGCCCATTTAGTACTGATTGGGGTTTTTGGGGTTTTCTACTGCCCAGCATTTTGATTGTTCTTTCCAAATGTCCTCTTCTGTCAAAACCAGCATGGAAGTAATATCATGACTGCTATACCTGAACCAGCAGTGTTCAGAAGATGTTAACTGAGGAAATTCTTAAGGCACTAAGTGAAATCTCCAAGAGAAAGCTCTCACTGTTGACCATACTGCTAACAGGGAAAATGGTGGTTAGCTGGAAATGGAGAATAAGCTTGTACTGCAGTTAATTAGTCTGGATTTGCTTATGTCTGTAGTGTCCAGCTCCTATGTTATGCTAATTTAACTTTTATTTAATGAGGAAGAAGGAAAAGTTTTCACAGAAACTGATAAAGCCAGAACTGCCCAGCAAATAAAGGCATCTTCAACATCAGCAGGTAAGAAACCTTTAAGAAGATTAATGAAGGAGAAAATGGTAATAATCGAGAATTTATTCAGTATGTTGTAGAGGAAAAATACATTTCACTAATTACTGGTTACTTATTGTTGGATATTCATAAAAGAACATTTGCTTTCTTCTGCCATTAATAATGAGGACTTAATTAAAAGTATTTGTTTTGGGACTAACAAGATACATTTGCATAACAGTTGTGGTATTCTAGAAACTTACGAAGTTCCAAAATTTATCAAATATCATGGACGTATTAGGAATGATTGAAAAAGCAGTCTAAAGGTTAGTAAAACCAAGCAGGCACATGAAACAAACTGCCAGTGTAAGTAAGGAGCAAGCGAATGGTACAAAGGGAGGAAGAAAGGCTAAGGATTATTTTTGTCTGGAATAGAGTCCCTGATGCTTGCTAAAGATGCACCTGTTATACCTCTTGTTGTGAGCTACATTAAGTCAGACTAAGCTTAATGAGTGCCAGATTAAGTGTTTTCCAGGATATTCAATAAGGAAAGGAGTCCAAGCCAGCTTTTAAATGTTTGTTGTTTGGTGGTGGTTTTTTTTAAGAGCTGAAAATATTGAAGGAGATTGGAATGGTTCTTGGAGAGACAATTTATTATTTTAACAGTTTTGTCCTCTTTTCTATATCCAGTTTGATGTTTTAAAGAAAAGCGGATGCAGTCATGTTGTCCTCTTCTTGGAAGTTACAACTGATGTGAGTAACACAGATGAGTGATTCAGGCCTCATGGCCATTATTTAAAATATCCTCCCACTTTTAGGTATGTATCTGGGTAAACCAACATAACCGGTAAGGAATTCTTGGTGCTTACGAATGATCTTGCAAAGGTCCACAGAGAATTTCAAAATAAAAGAACGAATGAAAGAAAATTACCTGCTGTAAGCCCACAGCAACACTATTTCCTTGCTGGTGAGCACTTCCTCACAGCAATTATGTCATGGTTTTGGAAGCCTTTTATAATGTTTGTATCTGACATCTCACTTGCATTTGTCTGTCAGCAATTCTTGGTTGGGATAACCCACTTGAGCACGTGGTTATGGGTTCCTGAGTGAATCATTTAACCTCTCTGCCTTTTTCTCTTTCCATCCATAAAATTAGCATAATAATGCTAATTCATTACAGGCTATAGTTAGGCTCAATTAATGTTTGTAATGATCTCTGAGACTGTTGGATAAAACATGCTGTAAAAGTGTATTATTATTGTTAATAGAGCCTTTTGTACTACTGCACTCTAACAAAGCACTACCATTGCTCACCAGTTCCTAAATTTCATTGAAATCCCAAGGAGTTAATGGGATACAACTCTGTGTTAGTGTGTGCATTTATCTTCCTGATTCATTCAAACCATCAGAACAGTTTCAGTTTTGAAACATGGAAGAGCTGTGGACTTTGTGCAAAGAGAAATTATGTAATTTTGTAAGTGATCTAGGACTGAAAGCTTTTTAAACAGGACCTCACACTGACCTCAGTTCCAGCTGAACTAGTTCAGACTGCAGAGAGCTGTGATTTGTGCAGCTTTCCTAAAATGAGGTGCCTGTGTGGTCAGGAAGATAAACAGTCACAACTGTGTAAGGGAGTGGCAGTAGACAAATCTCAATCGATACCACTGAGGAAAAGTTCAGCAGTCTGGGGTTCAGAGTTAATGCTCTGGGGTTTTGGTTACACATCCCAGGTTGACAGCGGGAAGACTCACTTAGAACTCCTCTCCCATTTGTCAGGAGCAGATGAAAAAATGAAGGAACAAGCTTCACAACTGGACTGGTTGGGAGAAATGATTCAAGCAGATCTACAGCCCTCAAAGAACAGCCCACATTTAGCAGCATAATGAACAGCTGAGCTTGAGCATGTAAGTCTGAAATGGATTTTTGGTTGCATTGGTTCTACATTTGTTAGACTGTTTGGAGCTGTGAGACAGTCATCTATACACACGGGTTTTAGGAAATGAGATTTCTCTGTCCTGTTATGTGACATTTTATTTTATCAAATGCTAAACAGTTTTCTTGGGAGTTTCAAAACATTTTCTCTTCTGCTGACATACTCCAGCTTCCTGCTTGTTCCAGTACTTGCACTGTTCAAAAATTATTTCTTACTATTTTTCATAATGAGAAATGTGTGTTATTCTCATCCTGTCTGTTCTTCAAAATAGCTGGACAGTCCCTACTAAAGCTTTACAGGGAAAAAAAAAGCAATAATTGAGAGAGAGATTATGTTCACAGACCTGATTCTTCTAAAAGTTATATGTTTCAGAATTAACTTTAATCATGTGTTTATAAAAGGAAATTTTTTGCTGATTTGAAAATGTAAAATGGCTGAATAGATTTTATGTTGACTGCTTTGAGAAACTACTTTTTTTTACAACCTACTTTTTTCAAACCTAATTCTTATTTGCTCTTCTTGTCTACTGCCTAGTACTGCTGAGAATGATTCAGCTTAAATGTCTGTAATCTCTCTACAGGATTTTATGTGACTGAGTGAAGCCTCTTTCCATATCAAATCTTTGAGTCTCTTACTCTCTAAAAGAAAAGTTTGCCCCATAAAACTGGAAGAGAAGAAATAGGTGATGTAAACATGGATGTGCTGATCAACACAAGGGAAGCACAAAACTGCAGGTATGGGCATCAAGCAAGTTGTGCCATTTAGTAGAGAAAAAAATAGAATTGATAAGAACAAAGTAAAATTGATAAAAATACAATACCTAAATTCACTAATCATGTGAATTAGCCTGGCGTGATAAGAGACAGAAATTTGAAACCTTTGTCATAGTGTCTGGCAGCAGTTTAGAAAGCAAATAGGGCCTAAGGAAGTAGAATTAGATGGAGAGGACTGCACTCATCAGTAATTAAAGCACTATTCTGAGAAAAAGCAAGGCAAAGCCACTTATTATTGCTAACTACCTTGAGTGTCATGTTACACAGAAAATACAAAAATACAACTGTAAAGGTGAGCACAAATATCTATAAAGGCATCACTTTCTTCAGATACTATGGATAGTATTACAGTTTTTAAAGAAATTCTCTTTGCCATTTGTTTACAGTGAATCCCAGGTGTTCTAATCCTTAAAGATTTTATAGTATAGAGTACTAGACTATAAGTGGCTGTTAGAAGCATTTCACAAAAATACCCCATACAGTACCTCAGTATATCTTAGTACATGGCTTGTCTGTGATCCTGCAGTTTAGGCATGCCCATAATGCATGTTCATAACACACGGATACAATGGAGTATCTCAGAATACATTTCAGAATATTCAGATACTTGCTATTTTTGTAGAGTCTCTGTATTTGCCTTTTATAAAAAGAAATGCCTTTAAATGCTGCTCTGCTTTTTGTTCAACCCCATCTAACAGGAACAGCATCTTAAACCGCTTATATATTATTTTTGGTGGCCTGTCTATGGGAGTGTGACAATTAAAAATGAAGGTGTGTAAATCATTACAGGAATAACTAAGAACAATTGTTTTCTGTCCCGGCAAATAATGGAAGACTTTGTTCAGCCATACAGAGACACAGAAGGAATTGTGGGGAAGTCTGGGAAAACTGTCAGCACTCAGCTGAGTCAGTCTGTATCCTTGGGGCAACTTAAGCTCCCTGTGTACACAAATGGAAGTCCAGGGCATGTTGGCTGGGTCAGGTACAAATGTGCTTTACTTTGGCTCTAGAAAGGCAAACTGTGGAGGTTCTATCATGAGTCCTTTTTTCCTTTCCATCCCCTTATTTTCTACAGCCCAAAGTGGAGCTTTAGTACTGAAGAAGGTAGCTTCTAAATTGTGTAGGATGTAGCAGTAGGATTTTGGACAGAAGGCATTTGACCAGCAAGTTAATGACTAGACTGAATGCCTGGGTATAGGGATGCCTTCCTGAATGTGTTAGGTCAGAGAATTTTAGTTCATAATAAAGGGTGTGGGTTTTTAATTTTCCAAAATAACTCTTAATTTCAAACTGAGTATTCACCAGCAATGTGTTTTTTGCAATGGCAATAGTGGAATGAAGAGACAAATATAATTGATTACAGCTAAATTCAGAGGCTAAAAGAGTCATTCCAAGAGCAGGTTTGCTGAAAGGCTGTAGCTGGTTCTGGTGTGCCTTTTAGAAACACCCACCCTGGATTCCCAGCTGTGCTTCATGACCCCTTGTCATTGCTTTGCAGGGATTGTATCACCAAGTAGTTCACTACAGTTTCTTGAGGGCCAGGGTTGATTCTATCCTTTGACTTCCATATGCTGCTCATTTACTTGACAAACTGTTTTAGAAACAAACAAAAACAAAACCGTAAGTTCTAAGGTGTCAACGAACCCAAGTGTATATATGTTTGCTCATTCACTTATTAAGCATGTTCATTACTATTAAGCACATCTCTCACATCCAGCATGTCTCCTATAGCTAGAGGGACAGTTTATTCCCTTGGTCCAGCTTGGATGTGTGTTGAATAAAGACAGAAGTGAACTGGTCCGTATAAAACTGTGTTTGTCACTTTTTTTCTCAAAGTCACCTAATCTTCATCCAGATATTTAGTGCTACAAGGTTGGTGCTTGGCAGAGTTCCCAGCCTACCCAAGTGCCCTTTGTATTTCCTTCTTAGGAAGACAAGGTGTGGCAATACTTTTGAGACAAAAATCAGTACAGGTTTAGGGACTTTATGTGTCTTTCTTTCCCCACCCTATCTCCTTTTGCCAAATGACTGATGTGGAGGACTAGGACTTTTCCTCTAAGAAACCATGTACCACAAGGAGGATGATGCAATATAAAGTGATGCTGTAAGTCTTCATTCCTCACCAATTTTGATAAGCTATAGTATGTGAGGAGAGATAAGTGATGATAAATAAAGGAAGAGGAAGCATGTTTTCAAGTAGGATGCTTGAAAGTGGGAAAGGCAGCACAAATGGCCTGTGAGATCCAGTGAGGATACTTGAAATAGCCTGACTTTAAGCTGATTGAATAAAGAACTGACACAAGCTCATAGCATGGACAGAGACACTCCTGGCCCAGCAGAGGCAGGGAATTTTGAAGTCGGGACTCAAGCGAGCCAATGCCTTGGGACTGGAACAGTTTTGGCACAAATCATGTTAGAGCTTAAATCCAAGTTGCTGAGTGAGAAATTACATAAAATATGAATATATCTCTACCTTGAAAAATTGGGCCTACTTTGTGCAACTTACAAATGCAACTTTTTGAATTTGTTTATTTACCACGGCATGTATTGTGAAGCTGTAGAAGGACGCAGAATCTGCTTTCTGAACTGAAATGAGGTTGAATCTGAAGCAAAATCATTGCAAATTTAAGCCTGCAAAGTGATTATTAAGCACTGAAAATTGCCCATGAAAGCAAGAAGTATGCATAAAGATTTCGACAGACTCACTCCCCTGTTCCATGTGAGATATTTATTCCTCTGCTGTGTTCACTGCCAGCAGGCTTTTAATGTTTCCTAAATCACACAAGCCAAAACACCTTGCTGTGTCTGTCCCAGAGCAGTACTTCTCTGGGAGACTAAGAATGCTGACCTCAGGAATGCAGGAGCAGACATATTTGTTGCAAGACTCCACAGAAATCAGTCTTCTGCTGAAAATTACAAAACTATCACTGGCTTCTGAAATAATAATATCATGCTTTAACAAACTGCTAATACAGCCCAAATCTTCCCTTCTTGAAATCTATAGGAGCTTTCACTGTGGTTTTAAACAGGGCATGACTAACGTGACAGTATACATTTGACTAAGAGATGAACATTAAATAAACCTCAAAATTAAGCCATATTTAATATTCTTCATTTAAAGTTGATATATGGTGGCATCAGACAGCTCTTAATTAAAAAGGCTCAAACCAAACAAAAATACAAATAAAGGCTTGCTAAAATCCTAACTTATTTTGTAATCATGCATTGCAATAGCAGTTGTTTTTGCTGGTCTGATCTGCCTTTCTGTTGGCTGGGTTCCCTTTCTGTGACAGATGTGCTATTTATGGAAGGGGATTCTGAATATTTTAAAGCACTGACTGTTAGGATCATCTCATTCCCAGCCTTTAAAATGAAAGAGAACAAAATGCCAAATAACTTTCCAAAGAAAAACCTCCAAATTGAACAGATACCTATTTAATCATTAAAAAAGAAAGGGGGGGGGGGAAACAAAATCAGATTGTCTGATATTTACAAGAAATGAATACGTACGTACAGCAGCCTAGTTTTTGCTGTGCAACATTTCCTGATTTAACACGATATTTGATATTAGTCTTCACTTTTAAAAAGTGGTGCTCTTTTAGAGAAAAAAATAAATCATAAGGTACACAGGTTCCTAGGGAAAGAATATGTGTATGAAAATTTGGCTGCTTTCTTTCTCAGCCATATTGGCAGGTCGAATGAAAGATAGCGCTTCTCTGGGCAAATCTGGCCTCACAAGGAGCTGTTTATTTCTGCAGTTGGCCAGAAACCATGTATATTCTCTTATACATATGATAAATATTATTTACCTAAAGAATTCTTTCAGTGAAATATTTTCAGAGCTAACATGTTAATCTTCACAATTCTGCTCTTGTGCTGGGCATCAGCTTGCGGTATTCGCAGGTAGAAGGAGAGGGAGCTGAGAGAAGTCACTGACATAGTGGGGGAGATTCTACTCTTTAAACAGGTAGATCTTATGGTTTGTTTTACCTCACCTGCTGGTTTAGCCTTCTGGGAAGGTAATTCAGGTTATAGTAAACTGCAGCATGGTTCTCTCATTCTCCCTTTGGAGACACAGTGACAATGAAAACAGAACCATTTTTGCTTATCAGGCGTTTTAAAAAAATCAGATTAGTAGTTTTTAATGTTTTTCTCTTTGCATATTTTTCATTATACATGCAAAATATTTTATTGTGTTTTTAAGTCTTCCAGAAAATAAGCCTTTTTTGACACTCATAAAAATCTAATTCCCACAATTACTCCTGCAGTCTCTGCAGAGGGTGATACCAATTTAACGTATGCAGCGGCTGAACAACATGCATGCTATTAATCTCAGAAGGTAACAGAAAGCCATTAAGTAGGTGATGTGATATTTTTAATTACTATTTCTGCTGGTTTTATGTTTCAAAATTATTTTTTCCTTAAAGACGACAGCACTTTAGTATCTGCATTGACCTCCATGATGTCAGAATGTCATTGTGCAACCGTAGCTAAGAAAAGCCTCTGAGAAAAAAAAAACAACAAAGGAGCTTTGCGTCTTCCAATAACATGAGATGTGCATATACAGTACGTAGCATTTTGGAATTCAGACTGTGGTAGTGAGTTGTTGCTTTCAGTTTGATTAGACAATCATTGTTTCGCTTTCCTTGCTTTGACAGTGAGTATGCTCGTACGCTGCTTAAGTCTTCTTAGTGCTATCTAGGTCAGTGTACTTAGGATAGCTTTTATGTTCTGTAAGTCTGACAGATACCGTGCTTGACAGAGATCAGCACCAAATTTTCTTTTATTTATTATATCTGAGGATAGCAAAATATCTTAAAACTGATCAGAATTGTATGCCACATAGCACCTACCGTTTCTGCATTGCAGATATATTTAGCTCTAACACTGCTTGTGGTTAACAGGGTGTAGCGTAGACACAGACAGCTGATCATGCAGTCAGACCCGGTGCTCGTGTGGTTTGTCAATACTGCTCAGGATTTTGATGGACTGTAAAAGAGAGAAAACAGAAAGGAAAGAAAAAGAAATGTTTTATTTGTCTGAACATTAGACTTTTAGCTCTATTATTTCTGCTATCATTGGCTTTTTATTTTATTTTTTAATTCAGAGACTTAAAAATTGAGAAAGCACAGCAAATGCATCCAGGATTTAATATGTGCGACGTGAAATCTTTCTGCATCGAGAGGATGTTACTGTAGTCGCTGCAGCGCTTCTCCAGTAAGCAAGAAGACTGTTTTGTTTTCCTCGGCAGGCGACTCAGCCATTGCACAAGCAGGTTTTGATAAGAGTTTGAAATGCCTACTACTGT